GTGGTCTGAGGGGAGGGGCGTGGTATCTCGATGTTTGGGGTAATGTCAAGGTCACACAGTGGGCGTGGTTTCTCAATGGTGGGGGTAAGGGGAGGCGTGGTCTTATCATTGTTGGGGTAAGGGAAGGCGTGGTAGTACGTGATAGTACGATGGTGGAGGAAATAGGTGACTTAGGAGGGGATGTTAAGATCAATCAAAATGGCGGTTTAAAGTGCGCATGTCAGTGGTGGGGGAGGTAGCTATATGGTTGTTCTCCTCCTACGATGTCATCTACTGGTGGGTAAGGTAAACCTCATGTGAACTGATAACGTTCACTGATAAACATACACATTACATTGAAATAATGTACGTCAAATAGTGGCCACCGTTGCCACTATAACATATTTACTTAATATTAACGCTACGTCTCCGTCAACAATTCCTATATAGTAAAGGGGTAATNCGTCTCCGTCAACAATTCCTATATAGTAAAGGGGTAATGAAACATAACATAAACTAACCTATAATGGGTGGGGATGAATCCAAGTTAAACTAACAACGTTTTCTAAGAATTTTTATCATTGCTTACCAGACGCTTAGATAAGCATATTTCCAACATCAAAGAAGTCACCGCACAATAATGATCATTGTCGTATGAGTCTTATCATCGGGTGTCAGACGCTTAGCTAAGCATATTTCAAACATTAAAGGTATCATTACATTATATCGCTTAAGTCGCTTTACATATATATATATATATTCTAATTACTATTAAAAATATATATTAACACACTTTATTCTTATTTAAAAATATAGAACTCATTCATTCCGATTACAAAGGATGAATCCAGTATCGTCATTTTTCGTCATTACCTCCATGTTCCGTGAGTGGGTAATTTACGCGTCTGCTGCTTTCCTTGGATGTGGTAGCCGTTTCTCAGACACCCTCCCCGGAATCGAACCCTAATTTCCCGTTACCCGTTACAACCATGATATTGATAGTAACTACTATCATAACGTAAAACTAAAAAGTGAAAAATAAATATAGTTAAAAAAAACTAAAAAAATACGATTTTAAAGCACATCGAACTAAAAAGTTAAAAATAATTTTTAAAATAATTATGAATAAAAATTATTTTTAACTTTTTTGTTCGATGTGCTTTAAGAGCGTGTTTTTTTAGTTCTTTTTAACTATATTTATTTAAATTTAAATTAAATACACTGAACATTTTGTTTATTTAAAATACACTTAACGAAACTATAATAAAGAAACATTTGACCACAGATTTTGACGGAAATGTGGATCGATGACTATTAACAGGGTTGGCAATCAAAAAAATGTATGAATCGTAGAACAATTCTAAAATTATCGTATAATTCGATAAATATATTGAACATTTTTTATCACTTTTATGATAATAATTTACATTTGTAATATTTTAGCTTCGATGCGAAGCTGAGAAGGTATTGGTTTTACTAAGATGTGT